TTAGCTGCCTTCCTCAAACCCTGCTGTATTGCAGCACTATATATACAACTGTACAGACTATTTTCCTACACTGTCAGATACCTCGTCACTATTTAACTGGCCCTCTGAGTCTGCCGCCCCCATTGCCGTCTTCTCTGCCATCTCCACCTTCTCCTTAGTAACTACTCCTGTCAGTTGCTGCACCATATCCTCAGACTTCATCTTATGCTCCTCCAACTCCGCCTTCCAGTCTTCCCCCTGTCTAAGTTACTCCACCTGTCACTCAAGCTCGGCTCGCTGTTCCCGTTCTCGCCTCAGCTCTCCAGCCACGCTTTCCATCTTGCTTGCCCATTCCCTGGTCGTCTCCTCCACATCCGCTTCGGCCCTCTTAATCAACTCTCCAACATGCGCCTCGAGCTGAACCCACTTCTCTCGCTCTACCAGTATATCCCGCTTTAAATCCTGAAAAGTATCCGTCCGTTCCCTTCCTATTCTCCTAAAACCAAGTAATACCGTCTCGCAACTCTGGCATATAAACCTGCTTCCCTCGGTATACAGTTTTGAATCCCGTACCATCATGCATGCAGCACCAACGGCCACACTCCTCACATTCTACATCGGGTCCTTCTTTTACTTTAGGCTGGGCGTCCGTCTTTCGTCGCGTGTTCACCATTGCCTGCCGTCACACAGCTTGACCCCACGACAAATATTCTACCAAAACTCAACCGAAGAAAGCCTCGGTTCATCTCTGCCCGCACAACCAACTAGCCCGCCAAAAGTTTCAAACGTGCACGTGGTTCGGTCTCGTGACCCAACCTAAAAATTTGCTTTAACCCAACTATGGTATCGCTACTTTAAAAACTGCTTTATATTACCCCATAAACACACCACTGTAAGAGCAAAAGTGCTTTACAGCAAGGCGCCAAACCTGGAAGATCAACCACAATAGAGTGTGCCACTGGCCTTTAGCGCGCAACACCACCGATGAAGATCCAACAAGCAAGCCTATCCTATCGCTACTTTAAAAACTGCTTTCTACTATCCCATAAACACACACACTCAGCTGGACTAAATATACAAAAATCACTTAGATTTCGCCCAACATATCGTTTTCGTTTTTGTTTTCTAGGTTTTCCGTATTTGTGTAAAAATGTCGTGAAAACTACACTAATGAGGTTTCTGCAGGGGGTGTTATACATCCAGAGGGACATAATATAGGGGTCTAATCGTCGCGCTAAGTTGAATACTCAACAGAAATATGAGAATTAACTTTTAAATATTTGAAAGTAAACGTATGGTTCATACTAGAAACTTGCTGAGCGTCATCAAAAAACAAAAACAAAATTTTGAATTTTTAGTAAGACCGAGCGCGTCGGAAGCGCAGGAGTGCCTTCAATTTGTCACTGGTGCAACAGGCACAAGACTAGAGCTGAGAAAAAGTGTATGATAAGAGACGGAAAAACGACTCGGGCGCGTCATCGCAAGTAGCCTTGCGCCTGCTGCACGATTGGAAATTGTAGCGGCCCACCGTGCATCCCACGTGCTCCAATTTTCTTTTAAAACTGACTGATTTAGTTGTTTTTGGATTACGCTCAAATCGAAAGCAGGGCTGGGCGATTGTTACCCGTTGGATTACTCAATTAATTATCTAATAGCGACAAATCCTTAAACCGTTGATCGGTTGAATTGTGACCAACCCAAACAAAACAAGAAAAAAAAACGTTCTACGCTTTCCTCATCTGACAAACTTGGATTTGAGAAAGGAAAAAGGATTTTTCAATTTCATAGTGCGCGCGTTCACGACAGGAGACAAGCTCGAAATCTCTGCAAAGTGTCGGCAGTAAAGCTATTGTTTTAAAACGCAACAAATTTTAGCGAAATCCTGGAGTAGTCGTGTGATCGTCATATATTTGATGTATTCAAAGACACAAAGTTGGTTACCGGCAACGTTCCCGTTCATCCCAAAGCTGACGGGCGAGCCGTCAGTCGCGTCGTTTAGTGGCGGTGGTTCGACCGAAAAGGCTGGGGGGCTTAGCTGGACAATCGACTGGATATTCACTAGGCAAATCTTGGACACCCCGCCGACTGAGGTTCCTGTCAAACTAGCGAGAACAGAAAGAATGAGGAACACGTGTCTACATTATTAGCGAGGTTCAACAGCTGAGCGGGAGAAACTGCATGTCGGGAGACGGTTATGAACTTGAGCGAGCTAGTGGTGCATTTTAGAGAGTTTACAACGCTAAAGGCCCTGTGATACTGAGGCAACTGTTGGACAACTTTATCCGGCAACACGAAGAAATCGTGTTGGCCGGCCACCCTGTCACATCGCTGCAACAACAACAGTCGGGCAACATGTTGCTGCTGCCCGGCAACCGTGCTGTCCGACAATCGTGTCGCACCGCGCAGACGGCGGGGACGACACGGGCAACACTCCTCCATCTTCATTGTTTACCTTCGTTCGTGTGCTGCGAGGAGCAACTGGAAATATGATTCGACAAAGTGCTAGTGCGCTCGAAGAGCCGGAAATAACCACGAGACTACTTGAACCAGTGACTGTGATTAGAAAAGTTGACACGGGAAGTATTTTCCACTCTTTATTTTATCAAAATGTTCTTCATTCTCTGAAACCTCAGATAGCCCTAACTGAGGAAAACCGTATGAAGTGTTTCTGTCCGGTTCTTTCGTTCATGGAATTACTATTTCTACTATAGAATTGAGTTAGCACCGGCAGTACCCCAAAGCGTCTTTTGTAGTGTTGTGTTCAGCTGAACTGACAGTGCTTAAAAACTGCGACACCGATACGATCGGCCTTTGAAACAATTTTTCAACGCTGTCTATTTCCCTACCGCCTGTTATGGGTTCACTTCATTCACCAAAACGTCCTGGGTATTTTTGAAAGGAATCAGGTTTCTGGTAGCGGCTTTATCCAAGTTCCAAGCATCAACAATCATGACCATGGTGGTCGTTTTAATCCTTTGATTTTTTACTGGATGATTTTTATTATACTATATCAGTTGAGTAGGCTTGCCATTTTATTTGACTAGCAGTAATATAAGCTGGTTTCTCGGCAGTTCTAATTTTAACCCCAGTCTGAACGTTCACGATTGTAGCTGTGACAAATTTGACAATTGCTTTGCGTAATTACGCAGGAAAACTTTCCATCAAATAATTTTAGCTGCACGCCAGCCTTATTCTTAAATAACGTTTTCGAAGACTTCATTCGACTAAGACGTTATTGATAAGCTCTGCCATCGAAGCTATCTGTGTTTTCATGTTGCCGGCCCGAAATTCGCTCAGCCAGCGATCAGGGCAACACATGTTGTCCAACACAAATTCCTGCTGTTTTTGTTGCCGAAAGCTGTCATACCGAGGCAACATTTTAGTTGTCGTCCATGTTTTCCTGCTGTTGCCGTGATGTGACAGGCTTGTCAGACAACACGGGGAGTGAGGAACAAGTTGCCCGACTGTTGGACAACGTGTTGTGTTGCGGTTGCCGTCGTGTTGCCACAATGTGAGAGGGTATTAAAAACGCGAAGGACGCGATTGAGTGATAAAGATTTTACGACGTGTCGTCTGTTATCAGGAAACGTATGTTTTTTTCTTTTTTTAATTAATTGAGCTGGAGGTAGCTCTCTGCGGTGTACGTCCTTCTTCTAATTTACCTTCGTGTCTTTATCGCCTTTAATTACCTATCTGTCGGCTGCTTCAGGGCCTAGCGTGACCTTTTTCTTGGCTCAAGCCGAACGGCGTCTCTGTCCTTGAAAAATATCACCGGGCAGCCTCAGATAACAGCGAAGCGCGCAATAGTCAAAACTGCGTGCAGCAACGGCGGCGAACGAGCCCCCAAAAAATGAAAAACACGAAAATAAGATTTTGTTTTTCTACATAGGAATTCGGGGGATACAATTATTCACGCCTTCTACCTTCCTATAACAAGTGTCCTCACCTGAGTTTGTTAGGTAGAAGACACATGAGGAACGCTAAATTTAAACTGATAAGTCTCTTGAGAAGAAACAGACGTGGCGTATCCTGCGCCACTTTTACTTGCCTCAGTATTAGACACATCGCAGACGTGGAGGAGTATACCAGTTTGAAGGGCAAACTTTTGGTAAAATTTGAGCTTAATCTAGGCTGCAGGGGCTAGGTTGGCAGGCCATAGCAAGACGGCTAGGTCACATTTTACACATGTTGCTTCAACGCCAACCGAGTGTCTGTTTAGAACAGCAGTGACTAATGTGAACAAGCAAATGAGCTCGTTCCTGCCGGAAAATATGAACGAACTTATCTACATCCACGAGTAGAGAAATGAGCTGTCACTCTCTCCTTGGACTGTTCTCAAAAACACATCAAAGTTGAACTGTAATTGATAATATATACATTGAGCTGTTTAAAAATGAGCAAATGCAAGAAGTGTAATTTTGTCCACTTTAAAATATTATGCATCGAAATTGGCGAAACCGATTTTTCTATTTATTCGTTAATGAAGAGGTGCAGATTAATGGAGTTAATTAATTTATTCGACGCTCGGCCCTATATTACCCATATATTTCTTTTTATTAACGTTAATTAACATTATTTAGCTAATTATCTGACTTCGCCTGACGATGAGCTCTCTAGATTATGCTTCCCTAGCGGAATAAGCAACATGCAAAAACTCCATTAACGTAGCTTTTAAGTTGTTTTTTTAACAAATCTGCAAAGCTTAAAAGAACACCTGGTATATTTTTATTTAGCTGCAGTAGCCATTGCAACTCTACATTAAAATTCTAATTTGTTATTCTACCTTTTTTTAAAAGAACACATCAGTTTTGAATACAACCCGTTATTGAATAGACGGCACCAACCCCTATACTCAACCGTACATTCAGTTGATATTTGAACACGCCAGTGTGACTGCTGCTGACTAGCCTATTCAGGCAAACCAGCAGCAGTCGCGGCAACCCTAGATGGTCTTCAAGTCGTCTTGTCAGAATAGATAGCCCTAACCGAAATGCTCAGTATGCGGAAGAAAAGTTGCATACCTTCGCCCGGGCTTCTCGGGCCGCTTCTGCTTCAGCCGCCATGGCCCTCTGTAGTTGCACAGGAAGGCGTACGTCTTTGCTGTGAAACGAAAATGAAAAGCAAATGTTTAAACAATCTAGCAGCTACAACTTTTAGGTTTCTTTAGCGTTATGACCAATCATTTGATGATAAGGATCACCCGTTGTTTCGATGAACCTTAGAAATAATAAACACCCGGTCGCGGCTATACTCCCTTGTAACTTTTAAACCCCTAAATCGCTCTTGTGTTTACATTCCCCAGAGTTAAATGCGCCGAAAGTGCGCCAAAAATATTGGAACAAAGAGGCAGGCTACAAAATCTCTAGAAAACATTTAAACCGGGTATGTTCGTATGTCCACTGCAATTGTTTTGAGGTTAAATTAATTTTAGAGATTAGTAAATTGCTGCGACCCCTCGTTTTTCGAAACGACGGTCTCTAGATGGGATTTGTGGTGGAATTCAACCCCATGAATGTCTCATTTTAGCAAAGCAGTCTTTGCGATATTTGCTTCCTAGGCAATATCGCTAAAAAAGACTAACGAATCTCGCATCCTCATTTCAGTCTTGGTTCCAAACCCTAACACAACTCTAACTACTTTCCTAACATTATTACGCTCGCAAGTGGTGCTAAGCTATCTTCGATATCTGGCTATTATGGGCAGGTCATTTGACAATAATAATTTTTTTAATCTTTTGCGAATACCAGGATGCGGCATCCCGCTCAAAGTTACTAGTTTGTACAACAAAACATTGTTTACTAGCCGCCTTTTTCAATCTATCTGAAGTATGCAATAACCAAAAACAGTGAGGGAAAGTCGGCGCCGGAGAAGCTTTAAGAAAAGTATTTTATTCAGTTTTTTTATACTAAGTAAAATCAGTACTAGCCCAGAGAACAAGTACTTTCGCTTTAGCAAGAGCGAGGTTAAAGTAGCCCAGCAGTTAATAATAGTACTAAACAGTTGCTTATATTATCAAATATTTCCTTTATTCTTTACACAATCAAAGCTTCTAAATTATTAGGCTTGCCCTATATCCCAGTGCACTTTAAAAAAAGGCTGTGCGTCTACTTTCACGCACAACACTCGGAGAACCAATCAGCGCAACTTACGGAGACAGCTCAGCGAATGACGATGCCGAAACATCTGTTTACAGACTAAGTTGTGACATTAAGCAATGCAAGCGTGACGTTTTGCATTGCTTAATGTCACAACTCAGACTGTGTTTTTTGGTCTAGACAGATGTTTCGGCATCGTCATTTGCTGAGCTGCCTCCGTAAGTTGCGCTGATTGGTTCTCCGGCTGTTGTGCATGAAAGTAGACGCACAGACTTTCTTTAGAATGTGGGTATAGAGGTTTAGCATGAGGGGGGGGGGGGGGTTGGAAACTACCATTTATTGTTAAATGAAAGCACTAGACCCGCAAATTATTTTTATGCGTGACCCTCAGAACGACTAATTATGAAGAATTCAATGCATTTATAAGAGGTATTCTTAATTTAATATTTTTGCCGTGCAAAAACATAATAAACACGAATAACATGAAATAGTATGCCTTAACTATCAATTAATGTGGAAAATACGTCGGCGTGTAAACACACCTTTACACTTCGTTTCAAATAGAACACTTTATGCAGCGCTAAGAATACGCTCGATAGCTTCAAAATTTCACAAGTACAAATGGTGGTACTTTGACCTCTTCCTGACGTAATTACATATTTGCTGCCAAAAACGTGACACGTCCCCTCGGATTCAGAAGAAGTGATTTCTTGCTTTCTTCATTCTTTATTTAATCATTCGAGTTGTGATTTGTACCTTGCGTGCGCTGACGCGAAAATGAGATTCGTTTCCGGGGAGGCGTGAAAAATGTCCGCTAATATTTGCCTGTCAGAAGCTCTAAAGGCACCATCGGAGAGAGAACCTGATTTGATCAGTTCTTTTCATTTTTTTTTTTTCATTTGTACATTTTCCGTATTTTGTCATTCGTGCGACATTAGTCGCGATTATACTTCTCGTAGCATCAAATGAAGCTATGGAAGTTTCCATCGTTCGCGCTTGATCACTTTCGAGAAATCGCCCCCGAGCACGTACTCCGCGCCCGCCATTGCGAAGATGAATTCGGCTATAGGTTTTTGTTTCCTTTGTTCTTTTTAACAATTTTTTCGTTCCCTATGATTGTTCGGAAACGTTTGTTGCGCAGACCCGATACCAAGACCGGGTGGAACGTTGATATTTCAATTGTATTTATATATTATTCGAATACATATTGAGTTCATTCAGGGACAAAGCGAATAATCTTGTGTTCTTTGAATTAGCCTTTCCAAAGTAATACTAGTAGTACTGATATTCATTTAGTTATATTGAATTTGTAATAAAGCTAAGACATATATATTCCTTTGTTTACCTGGAAAATACTCTTTATACTATGTCAGGTCTATGTCCTTCGTAACAGTAGAGGACGCCTTCTGGCTAACCTATAAAGAAGTGACGAAGCCGAATGGTCACTATTTCAATAGTATCCGCGGTTGTGTGAAATACGGAGATTAGTATCTGACTTTCAACAGTATTTTACTCCATCGAGTACTCGTTTACTGAATGCACTTTCCAAATTCATGGTATTGCGACTGTGCCTTTCATTGTAGTGCACACAATGCGCGGTGTCAAGCATAATCTTCTATTTATATCGTTTCTACTCTGACCGCTCCTCTCCCAATTGCCCTGAATTTTATGCCAATCTAGCCCTCTCATTTTTCTACCGTGCTGTCACTTTTCATTCCTCCATTATGCTCAGTCCCCTCCTGGCGAACCTGGCTGGCTTCTCATCATAAGTGGACCAGCTCGGCCTGGTGTGGCCGGCGCAGCACATTTTGAACACTTAACTTGTGTTCGATAGTAAAATGTTTTCTCGTTCGCTCTCTCTCCAATAACGACGATGAAGACCACAACTGGCCACAAACTGCTAAACGCTTTTGGGGCGGTTTTTCTTTGTTTTCACACTGAGCCGACGAAAGATATTGGACGCTCTGTGAGCATTGTCATGGGATGCACTTCATTAACTCACAACGTCACCTTTCCTCGACGAAGTGTGAGTCATCTCTTTCAAGTTCTTCTTTTTGTACATTTTCTACCTGAGTTTCTACCTGAGACAGATGACCAGTAGCCATCCGCCTCGAGACAAGTCCAAAAGGCAGGTGTTGGCTTTGTCCATTACCGTCAGCGCGAGCTTTCCGCTTTTACCGAGTTTGAAAGCAGCAGCGTCAATAGCTTTTTTTTATCTTTAAGATCGCTGCATTTTAAAATTAACCAGAACTGTATTCTAGCTTCGCAACACGACAAATGAAGGGTGCTCTGGTCACTTACAAGATGAGAAACACATAAAGCAGCCGCAGTTGTCCCACCTCAAGCGTGAGCTTCCTACCTTTCACAATGTTTCGACGTCTCGCGGACCTCAACCGCGCAGACAAAGGCTGATAGGCCGGGCGTGCGAAGGACACGCCCTGCAGCTCACATTCTTCCCGTATACAGTATGGTAGAGTGTGAACTAAAGATATACAATATGGTACACAGTATGGCTATATGGTATACAGCCATGGAGACCACATTACGTCACGGATAAAAAATTAACACGCTTCCATCGGACGTGTTTGCTCGTCTCCTAATTTAGCGAAGAATAAAATGCCATTTGAGGACTAGCAAACAGAGACCAGTCGGCAAATGAGTCGTTTGCCTCCTACCTCGGGATTCACTGGGAGAGTCGGCGGTTTGAAACGATCGGATGAATCGTTTCCTTAAAGTATCAAGTTAAGAAGTTCTTAGGGAGATGGTAGAAGATGGGGCATTTAGTGTACCTTAGGTTTTTTTATGATTTTATTTGAGCAAGAAAAGAAAACGTTGAAAGCGTAAATTTTCTATTTATGTTGGCCGTCATTTGCGAGATAAGTTACGGCATTGTAACTCATCTCACGAATTGAGAAGATTGCACCCTGTTGATGTTTTTACATCCTTGTTTAACCCCTCTTTAGTTGCGGCATCGAAGAACCGCGATTACTCAATTAATATTGAGCTTAGCAATATATTTAACTTAGCAATATATCGGTGAGCATTTTACGGGAAATGTTTACTTCAACTGTTTATTTCGAACCAAATTGTCCCGATAAGCGCTAAAATCTGTTGAGTTGATGTGTTCTTTCCCCTTTATTTCAGTAAGGTTCGAACGTTTTATATATGATTTCATTTTTTATAAATTGCATCAATATGCTACTTAACTTGTACATATTTAGTTCCTTTCGTACTTTGTTTTTCATATATGTAGTGCACATGTGTTATTTTAGTATAACTCTTTTATGTTTGCCTGCATCGGGTCTGCTGGTTTCGGTCGCTCGGGGATCGTCAAGCTGTTTTTCACAGCTTTTCATTCTTGTCACCTTTTCAACATGTCTTTTTTGTTAGAAAAAATAAAGGTACTATTGCGACGACTACAGCTATTACTACTACTGCTATTATTATTATTGATATTCCCCAGTCCCTCTAATGGCCCTACCCCGCACACATCGTAAACGTATTCCCCGGGGGAATGCACTGAAATGTATCACCATCTGTCGGGTTTGACTGGGTTACTATGTCAACAACCAAGTATATCACCTCACAAGTGTTGTTCAGGAGGTCATGGACATATATATCCCTTTCAAAACATCTAAAGAATCTCGTTTCCCTAACTGGTTCTCTCGTGAAGTCAGAAAGCTTTTAAAACGGAAATATTTTTGCACAGGGGGTTTAAGAAAAGGGGACTTCCGATGTGGGAAGTTTAATCTAAATTTGCAGAAGGCAATGCAAGAAATTTTTAAACCGTGATCGTCAGGCGCATTGTGACTCGGTAGAATCAGATCTCGTTAAAAAATCCCAAGAAATTTTGGATGTACGCCAAATCGCGCTTGGAGAAGAATATTGAGTCCGAAATCATCTTGAATCAGCATAGCGACAGTGCGAAGGGCATGTGAGTTGTTCGCGGACCACTTTGCGTCAGTCTACAATAATAATAATAACTGCTCCTCAACTATATCGCTTACCTCGGAGTGGTTTGGTGACTTATTAGGTTGTGTAGTTGTTGATGAGGAATGTGTTGGGCTATGCATTAAGAAAATAAGACGCACATTGTCTGCAGGTCATGACGGGATACCCGTTCCAATCGTTAAGGGTTATCATGAATTATTTACGCCAATACTGTGCAGAATTTTCAATAACTTTTTGACGTCAGGAAAATTCCCTGGCGACTGGAAAGTGGCAGTGGTTGTTCTGGTCCTTAAATTCGGAGATAGTGGTGATGTTCTTAACAACAGACAGATTTCTCTTCTCTCTTCTTTTTCCAAACTCTTTGACATGGTAATCCATCAATTCTTCTCCTTTAAGTTTCGCAGCATAGTCATTCCTAATCAGCATGGCTTGATGTCCAGCAGATCGACATCTCCCAATCTCGTACCTTTTAAGTCTGCTGCATCTAAAGTAGTTTGTAAAAGAGGTCAGCTCGAAGCTTTTTTGCTTCTTTTTATTTCGACCTGAGTAATGTCGAATTAAGCGCTGTGTCTGTGTCCCTTCTTCTGCTTATCCTTGTGTTCGTTTGCGCTGTTTTATTTCTATGTTTACAATGCATCACCGACTAGCCCACCTCCAAACATTACTGAGTAAGGCTTTCGACGTAGTCAACCACAACATCCTCTTAAACAAGCTTTCCTCGTACGGAGCATGTTGTTCGGAATACAATTTGTTAAAAAGCTATTTGTCTGATAGGTAAACCTACGTCTGCTTCAACAATACTATCTCGTCCTTCTACAAGGCAAGCTCTGGAGTGCCTCAGGGATCTGTCTTGGTCCCCTCCTTCTTAATATTGTTGTAAATGATGTCTCTCAACTTGTATTACATTCTTCATTTCTGCCGTACACTGATGATATAAAACTTTACAAAAAATATCGACCTTAGAGGATTGCATCGCGCTTCAGAATGCCGCATACTCGTTCGGTCATTGGTGTTTAGACAAGGACCTCCGTTTGAATCATTCTAAAACAAATGTAAGGACATGTTCTCGCAAGACCCGCGATATAGTTTTCCATATAGTTATCATGGCGAACTGCTGCCACGTGTAAGTGAACTGAGGGACCTTGGAGTCGCTTTTGATTCAACTTTGAGATTTGATACTCACGTTACCAGAGTAGTTCAATCGGCCTTGCGCACGTTAGGTGCTGCGTCTCGTATAACAAAGGAATTCAAAAGCCCGTCCACTTTTGTTCACGCTGTACTGTCCCTTAAATTGCAGCTAGAGTACGCCTGGCTTGTTTGGAACGGCATTTCCAAAACTAACAGTTTATCTGTCGAGCGAGTCCAAAACAAATTTATTCATATCTTTAAATATCGTTACCTTGAGAAAGGTCATCCTTGTTTAAACGTTGGATGTAACTCTCAACTCGTCTGCTTGTTGAGCCGGCAGCAGCTTGGGGTGAAGGCAGATCTGTTGTTTTGGTTTAAGACCCTGCACGGCTCGATTAACTCTCCCAGCCTTCTGTCCGAAGTGAGCCTTAGGATTCGGGCGTGTGCCTACACGGTTCCAATCATCTTTTTTTTAGCTTGACTTTTCAGCCACTTAAACCCGATACAAAGGCCGGCTGAGTGTTATAACCGCTACCCTGATACAATTAATAGTTTTAACTTATGCGGGAGCAACTTCCGAAAAGCTGTTCGAAACTTCCTCTTGCAAGAAAAGGGCTGATCAGTAGTAGGGTTGATGTTTTGTAGTACGATATCCAAGTATTTGCTTTGTGCTCTCACATTTCGGGATGTCTCTGTTTTGTGCTTTTGATTTCCCTTGTTGATTTGAGTATCTTTCGTACTTGTTAATATCTTTATTTTAAGAGTGGTAAACCACGTTCCCCTTCTGCACTGTTGTGTATGTGCGTTTGTATGTGTGTGTTTTCCTCGTTTCTTCAATTGTGTAAGCACTAAGACCGATTGGTTGTTCCTGGAAACTTTGATAAACACTGATTGATTGATTGATTGATTACATTAATAAACAAGTATGTGAAGCTACGCTGCCTACGAGAACCAAGTAGCGTAAGCAGACGACAATGGAGAAAGGGTCTGCGCGCCGAGATCCTCTCCACGTTGCTGCAACGGGGCGTCGATTCCTTTGGAGTCGACAATAGCAGACGATTTTTTTAATCAGTACAGGCGCGGCCTTCTTCTGTGTAGTGGATAATTCTTTTTTTTTTTCAGTAATAAATCCCACTCAATTGACAGAAAACCTACGAGAAAGATTATTTGTCGGGCTATTTCGGCTATGTTAACAGATGCATTATCACTCGACAGTTTGATTCAACTTGACGTCTCCCATGTATTGACGACCACCGTAGGTAGTAAATTCGCGCTCTTTATTTGTTACTTTACGCACAAATAATAATTTTTCTTTTAAATTCATTTTTAGGAACGAATAAATGATATTTTTTAGCTATTTACGAAGACTTAGCTGGATACGTCAAGAAACCGATTTATGAGGTTTCTTTCAACAGCCAACGATTCCTTCGACTCACTTGGTATACACAGACAGCATTCTAAACCTCTGTCACCTTATAAAAAAAATAGAAGGGCAGAGTAGATCATAAAGTAAAGCGGCGAGGACGTATTCGGCATGGGGATATCAAGGAACTCCTCTAATGGGTAACAACCTGAAGAAGAATGCCATTGGTGCGAACCTTACAGATACAGGTATTTCCTTCCCGGCAACCATAGAAGTAAGCAGAAGAGGAGGCCACATAGCTGCTCAAGCAAGCCAAACGGCCATATCCCAAGTGAAGCCGGAAGTAGAGGTCGCGGTCGATGCGAAAGCCCCCTAAAGTGACCAAAACAGCTGTTTGCGCCAAGTCAGCAATCCTTTAAGTCCAATAGCTTCACTTCGTTTTGGTGGTCGTTGGGGGCGTGTCTCTCCAAACCAGGCGTCTCCCCCGGCTTCACCCCTGGTGGTATCATGTCGCCTCCAGAATCCTCCTACCTCCATGCCGGCAACCCACTCCGAGCTTCAGGACTGTGTTACATTGTCTGCATCAATCTCATGTAGCTCATTAGACAAAGAATAAAGCAAGTGTTCGCTGTATTAAACAGCCTCTCACCAAGACCTTCATAATGTGCCATTTTACAGTCCAGCCTACAGTACTCTCGTGGGAGCCTAAGCTCGGAAGGAGTTGTTGAAGTGGGCGCCTTCATTATAAGATATTATGCGACGCGTCAGTAGCGTACTCAGAGGGATAGCTCTGATTGAGAAAATATAGGGTCCCTTTTTGTGACCCGGTGGATGGCCTGGCGTAGGAACGCGGAACGACGAACGCGTTCGAATAAAGAGCGCCAGATACAGCGCGAGGAACAGTCGACGCCCCTCAATGCTCTGATGGGAGGATGAGAGGGGGTAGAGATAAAGTCGTATACCCACCATTCTTTAACTCAGTGGTTGGCGCGTTGGCGTCAGCGCACGCTTGCATATCCTCCTCTCTTTCACTTTCTCTCCCCAAACATACGATATTACCACTCGCCTGAAAATCACGGTTACGTACAGATTGAAATCGGACACACCGTGACCCCCAGCTGTATCAGTACCCTCCGAATTCCCTCGAAAGCACCTGCTTCTGCGGCGGAAATACCAGGGGCACATCGCCCAAATCTGTCGTCGTCGCATCGTTCAGGCTTCTCGAACATACAGTTCTAAATCCTTCACATGGACTAGAACTTGGCGAGCTCGAACTTAGACTTATTACGAAGAAGATGGCCTCCATAGAGGCCCTCAGTATGCCCTTTCGATCGCGGCAGGTTTTATCAGTATTATTTTAGAAGCCCTGCACAAACCCTAGCATAGTTATGCCTACAGGCGAAAACTAAAGGAGATAACTAAATACCATAGGATTGCTTTTGCGATTCTCAACATCTCCCGCCGACTCTGACTCATAATACGGAAGAATAAAACAATAAGGCTATTGATCACCTCACCTTATTCATATTCGACGATTTACTCAGTAGCAAATTGAGATATTTTAAGAATTAAAAACATTCCAACTAGATTTACTTTCAAAATTAAGCAGCGGAAATACAACGCAGCTTGTGAATAGTATTAAACAAATATCGTAACTACCTTATGTACATATAATGAGCTTAACTCCACATCATTTGATGAAAATGTTCTGCAAAGTGAAGCCTCAATATTAACAAAATATCTAGTCCCCATTTTTACATTTATGGAGGCTATCGCAAAGGCATTTTCAAGACTGCGATGTTGAACTCACTGCAGTAGATTAAATTTTTTATATTATAATATTGTGAATTCAATTAGCCCAATAGTTTCCTACTACTGCCTTTGAACTTTTCTTCGTAGTTTATATTGTCCGGTATCTATACAATTTATATATGTAATAATATGCATGACAAATTTGGCAAACAACCTATGAAATTGCCTCGCAACTGATGTTTTTTGGAGGATTTATATCGATACGGTCACATTTGGTGTTATTTAGTTACGGATGTTAATGTTTTGTGGAAGTTCCTACAACTAGACATGTTGCAGCGTTGCCTGCCTAAATATTACAAGCTCTTATAGTCGCCCTAACGCCGACCAAGTGTATATTATCACTCAGTCTCGCCTCCCAAGATTTTTTTTGCACGCATAATATTTTGTGTGACTCACATATGTTAATCAAGCCAATGATATATAACAATAAAATAACAGGAAAACTTACATTTCGACTCTCTCCACCTTGACACCCCAGGGATCTGTGGCCTCGTCTAAGCTTGCCTAGAATCGAATATAAATTGACGTGAATGGTTAATCACTTTAAAGACAAGGGGATAAATATAAACAAATTTCATGGCGGCAGTCGGAAGTAATTGTGACCTTTCTACAGCACACAACGGAAATCCCGTGGTTCTCAAGGGGGTGTTACAGATCCCAGTTGCAGGAAGGCCACTTTTCATTTTTTTGCAGCAGCCACAAATCATATGAATGACTCAATCGATCCTGTTAATGGCCGCGTAGAAAATAGCAGCATTTGGTTAAACACTCAGATGTTACCAGGCGTTCTAAGAGTTATGCGGCGTTTGTATTACAAATTCCTGGACGATGGTAGGTATGTATTTCCTTGTTTAACCAGGAATGTGCTTTAATTTTAATGACTTTCAGTCTTGTGAGCAGTATAGTGCAAACAAATACTAATACCGTTCCTGGAAAGAGTGGTATGTGGCAAAAGTACATTTCTTCCTACCGACCTTTACCTAGAACTCAGGCGTCCAGCGCATGCTTTAAAATAAAGCGTTTTTTTTTTTTTTATAACAGACAGAAGGAGGTTTATGGTTTGAAAAACTTTGAGCTCAAGTTGAATGCTCCCCTGTTTTTCTGAACTCAACAGTAATATTTATTTCTAACCTCTCTTCGGGAACTAGGAGGCAGTCCTCATGGTTTCTGGCTGGGTCAAAGGGGGACGGGGGGGGGGGGAGGTGAGGGAGGGGGTGGAAAGCTTGACCTAGTTTGGAATCATTAGGAATACCGTGTGCAACTAAACACTTTTGTTCAATTCTTGTCTTTTTTTTTTGTTATTTATTTTCGGATTTTAATATCATTCGTAAACCAGACTAATCCCCTACCCAGGAGAGTATATATCTTCAATTATGCTTTCTTTGTGTGGTTTGGTTTTTTTTATTGAAATCTCCTAGTCATTCTTCATGTAAAAGTGAGATTCCCTATAGCTTGAAAAACAAACTAGTTTATTACAACGCAATCCTAAAGACGCCTAGTTTTTAAGATTTTATATTAGAGTAAAACTATCGGTGTAATAACATTTTTGCAAAGAGATATATTTAAGACATTCACATGTGTCCGATAGTTGCTGGTCAGCTTCTTTGTTCTCTTTTCTATCACAACATTGCGAAGCCAAAATATTGCTTCGGGGCATGGTCGTGTTCATCATTACTTTATTACAAAAAACAATGCTCCCCCCCTCCTATTTTTGTCTGGCAGATTATGAATATTGGTATCCCAACCATTCTACACTTTGTTATGCTACAATAGAGAAATATCCTTGTGAGGTATAGCGTTTTATAACGTCGACCACTCACTCATAACCAGCTGTATTTCCACACCCACATCAAGGTCTTTTTCTGCAGGATATATGCATTTTAGTTCCATGTGCCCTGAAGTAAGACAATAAACTGTAGGCTTATTGCTCAATCAGCCCTTTCTACACTATTCAAACTGCACTTCACTTCGCGTGGTTAATGGCATGGATGGCATGTGAACAGCGGCTTCTCAATGTTGCATCGGTACGCCGCTAAAACTGGAAGTTTTGATTACGGTATTTTCTGTTTCCAATCGTTGCACCAACTGACTAAAGCCCCACGGCGAAAATATTATGGAACTGCTGGTTTGAGGTATATGACAAAAATTATAAGTTGTTGAAATATCGTATTACACCTTGATATTTCTTTAATGTTGTCTTTTTTATTCATGACTCAAAACTACTGAGTTAGCTAGACAGTAAAATAAAGGTATACCAGACCACCAAATGTTCAGCTTTGTCTTGTAAGGTATAGTTTATTGTGCGTGTTCGCATGTGACTTAATTCATCCCATTTGTTATTTTCAAAGCATAAATGAGCGTTCTTACCTCCTTTGTACTTGGGGAAATTAAAGATCAAAGTTCTGGCTTCCTCTCTGTACTCATGTTATTTCCTCTTAGCACATTAGTTTTAGGCATTAACTACTTGTATTTATCAGTTCTGTATGAGCATTTGATCACGCGTGTGTCATGAAGAGCAATACATCAAGGCTCCTGGTATTGTGACTCGCTGAAGTGGGTACAATCGAAGCTGGCGACACTTGCGAACTATAAATAGTTTGCGCACACTATCCCACGGGTTTGCTCTAGTCGATTTGCCTCCTGATCTACGGCAATCCAAAGTTCTGATCTATGAAGTTAGAGAGGCCAAGAATATGTAATATAAATCAAAGGTGTACTTCTCAACTTGCACTTCAAGCGCCCTTCGACACATCCTTGTAAACAGTCCTGTACACAATCCCTGGCGCATTCTTGGAGACATGCATTGATACAATCATTACCACATTCTTTGGCAAACCTTCCAAAGGAGAAGGGTTACCTGCATGACGTGCGAGATGGACTCCCTCTCGGAGAGGATCTCCGACAGGTTTTTGGTGCCGAGCACGTTGCGGAGCGTGGTGGCGGCGAGCAGACGGGTCGAGTGTCCGTAGTCCTCAACGTTGGAAACGGCAATGGTGGCGTTACTGATGCGGTAGTACACCACGGCATCCACCGCCACTGTCACCGAGTCCTTGGACAGGATCTGCACAGGAACGCGCACGCAAACACGTTACCCACCGGCAACTGAGTGTCCTCTCTGCATTGGTGTACTAGTCAGCTATTCATTAAAGGGCACTGTGATGTCAAAATCACTATTTGTTTTACTATTCGAAACAATTTATAACGATGCCTGAACATTAACCTCAAAATTCGAAGCTGGAAAACTCAATATTTGTAAAATGTGAAAATAAAAATACCGAAAGTCGATTTTGAAGTTTTTGTGCGATTCGCGTCAGTGCAGTGACGTCAAAGATTGAGTCGTCCTGCAACTTGAGTTTCTCTCGCGCCTTTGAACCGTCCCAACCCGAAGTGTCGTGTTCGCCTGCCGTCCCTTGATAAACCGCTCTTCTCCGTGCGTGCCGCCTATCGCTGTGAGCAGACGGCGCTTTATTTTCGAGCTTGAAGTTCGTTGAGGGCCTCTCCAGTGATGTCTAATTTTTTGAAGCGGTGTGAGGTTGAAGAGAACGCGTAGTGCACTTTTGTAGGCGACGTGAGGGGCAACGCCGCGCCAGTTGGCTGTTGAACAACCGAAACTACGGTACACAGACACCAAACTCAGTGGTTTTGGGCGTTTAAGGATTTCCTTTTTGAAGTATGAGAGGTCGTCGGGCAGCCGAAAAAAAAAAAGAGCGCCGTCCGATTTCCCGACTTAACAATCATCTTCAGTGCCACATGTGCGGAGTGCCGCCATATTTTCCGAGGGACGATAAAAAACCGGGAGGTAAAATCACTCCACACTCCTATTTCCGGTATGTCAAAAAGAAGGGCCGGGCCGTAGTGCGTCCGCGATTGCGTTTAAAAAATGTTTTGCGAATGTCGTTCATAAATATTATAGAAATATCGTTTACAAAGCTTTTAAATTTCATAACTGATAACGTCACAATTAAGATGAATCGAGGAGGTTAGAAAATAAATAGAAAAGCAACAAAGATAAAAAGGCACGCGGGCGCTAACTCAAAACTGATTTTATTAGAAAAAAACTTCGTCACTTCTATACACTAAATCGTTTGTCACACCTGCAATATAACACCAATCACCACTCTCACAGGCAGCTATCTAAAAAAGTTACTTCTTTTTGTAGCAGAAAAAGAGAAGGCACGCTAACGCAGTTGTCATCTTTCGTTTTGACGTAAAACGCCCCTATAATCTCTCTCTCTCTCGGTTTTATATTTTGCTTATTTTTTACTTTGTTGCAGTCAAAAGAAGCTTACAGCCAGCGCACCTCTTGCAGTGGTGATGTCCTCCGCGTTGTTGCGCACAAACAGATTATGTTCCCTTGCCCTATCGTTAAAACAACGGCCAGTTTACCAGTAGTAGACTTTTCCACAGCTTAACGGTATCTCGTATACGACATTGGTGACCATGTCAGCGTATTGCACTGCGTGCTTCTTGGAGCAGAGTGCTTTTTTTTCTGCCATGTAAGCATCGGACAGATATTTGAGAGCTTGTAAGCGGCCGAGAAGACAACGTTTACATCGTATCTGCTAGCTTACTTCTGAATGTCTTGGGACACTTTATGTCGATATAAAACCACATGTACACGTCTTTTAACCTTACTTGTCTGGCTGCACCAAGGGTGCAGCCAGAAAGATGTCTAAAAACCGCGTTTTTTTTTATTGCTTTTTTTTTGTCATTTTTGGGAAACTCAAACGTTATCACGTTCGTCAGCAGAAAACTCACACATAAAAACAACTAGTCATGGCTAAGACAGGACTGGTGCTGTCGGGGTTTAGTCCTTCTTTCCTCGCTTCTCTGGCGCCGACCGCTGCCACTCGGAGGTGCTCAAGGCCGACGATTGGAAACCCATTTCTTATAACCCGTTGTTGAAGTGGGTCTGACGACGATGTAAACCTTCTCGAAGTAGCCGACATTCCCAATGGGCCAGCCGCCCGTCGTGCCGCTCAATGGCGACGGGCCACGGTGTAGACTGGCCAGCGGAAAAGCCTGGGTGTAACTACATCGTTCTACAGCCGACGCGAGGAACGGAGAACTGCAGTGGCAATCGCACACTTCCATGATTCTGAAGTAGTGTCGGTTCATAAGAACATTATGTATTTATTGTGAAGAAGCAATAAACTCAATTACACATGGCCATGCCAAAAAATACCAGAAAACGCCTCCTGCTATAACTTCGCCGGAGGAATCATTATCCGTGAGCATTTTTCGGCTGCACCCAACTGCACATGTTTATCCCAAGCTGAGAATGCACATTGCAGCCTCTATCACACAAAAAAAAACCTAGTGGAAAAAATACGCTTTTGTTTTTTTGGCGCTAAAAACGCGACCGATTATTCGATTACTTAATCGATTAAAGAATACGGACTAACCGGGTTAGAAATCTTAATCGCTGCCGATCCGTACGGGCGCTTTTTGTGGACGATCTACCTAAATGGCGTATGAAAAGAATGTAAGAGTCTGTTTCAAGCAAGAATACGTGTTTTTACACTTTTTAAACGGCTTCCCTCCCACCGAATTTGTCCTTAATAATTAAGAGTCACTATCATTACACCTGGTGTTTAACCTTTTAAGATATATTTTTACTCAGATTCAAATGTTTACGTATGAATTGTAATATATTCATAGTGACTGCCTTTAAATTGCCTCAACATATTAATATACACATCTGAATAAGTAATCCAAATTTCAAGTCAGACTAATATTATTTTTTCGCCTAGTTATTGAACTTTTAAATTAGGTTGAGAAGCTGAGGGGTTATACTAACCAAAATGAAAATTTTACGTCGGATTTTGTATTATGGTCAAATATGTGGGGATTGCAGCTTGCTCCTGACAAGTTACAAGTTTGATGATGTGAACTGAATGCAGGGTTAGGCCCGCGCCACTTAAACGAAACATTATGCGCATAATACCGTTTATATTAGATTGGCTGCTCGACTTGCATGTTACATGCGACGTCGCCCCACTCGAGAGCGCGGGACAATTTGCGTGTTGGTGTGCGCATAAGTTTCATTTGAACTTTTCTGAGGAGAAATTTTGAATTTAGAGATAATAAATACCATGTAGGGAAGAGTAACGCCTGGGTATGGGCCCAAGATGCATTTAACTTGGGTAGCTAAAAATATACCGGAAGCTCCCCTTTAAAGGTGAACACTCTTTTCAAAATATTTACAACCGTAGAAACTATTTTCTTTTTTTGTCACACCATTATCGCGAAAGGCAGTGTTTCGAATAGAGCTGCTGCCCTATTATCACGAAAAACCGTGCGCGTGTTATATTGTGTAATATCAAATGTTCAATTTTATAAAGGTAACTTTCTTTATCCACTTTTAGAAACGTGTTTTTTATGTACTGTAACTAAATACCGAACCAGCAATATATAGCTCACTACACGCGTGAATCATTTCGCGTTTATCGTGAGCAATATTCTCAATGGCAAGTTGAGAAGGTAATAGAACGGAGGTTCTAATAAATGTCTCGATGCCTCGAAAGGTGTAAAAGTCAAATCCATTACAAACGTACCATTACGTTCATTGACCACACATTTGTAAAACTTTGTATTATAAAAGTACGACTGCACACGTTCTCAGAGTTGCTTTGTAAATGGAGCCTCGTTTCTGAGGACGCAAGCCTGTGTAAACGCTTGCTTCGGGGAAAAAAAAAACTCTAATGTGCAAGCTAATCGTGTGTGACTCAGGTTTCATCCGCTAACGAGCTAATTAGCCATTAGTTAATGAGAATGGCGACCGAATTATCCCATTTTTTTAGATTCTCTCCGGCGGTGGGCAGGCTGCCTTTAATGGCCGGCGGATGCGATCACGCGAAATGGCGATTTGCGACCGCTGCCCAGAAGAATCTCCGCGTCGTACGGCGCACACATTCGAGGCGCAAAATGGGCCCGCATGCTTTCTCTCCGCGCAAACGCGGAGACGGCGATAATTGTCGCATATACCGACAATCTGTAGAATCATGTTGTTCTCCGCGACAGTATCATTAAAAAAGGCACAACATGCGTCGGGTATTTATCTACATGTTGTTGTTTGTGTGTGTGTGTGCGTTTTTTTTATGACGCCTTCATTAACTTACTCGGAATGAATGTTTTTATTGTTTATCTGTAAAAGCAAGTTTGGGAATTTGACGATCGAGCAGCCCCACACTATCATCATCTGAGTGCATGGTGACTGTCCAACACTAATCGATACCTTATGGTGGTCGCTGGTGTTTGAAAACGTTTGACCAAGCAGATGGGTACGCAAGAGTCGCGCATTAAAAGCCTCAGAAGTTGTGCGACCCGATTAATGCATAAACGTGATCCTCCAACGTTCCCTTCATACTCGGGTCTAACCATTTTATCGGCATCCAATCAATCTGTTGGTTGGTGGTCGGCCCTTCGCACAGCGTACAGATCGAAGCATAAACAACGCATGAAGAGGACAAAAATCAGCAATGTAATAATTTTCATCCGACCCTGAAATGCATAGTTGGTAGTTTCGATGTTCGAAGATCGGCAACCGTGATAAACATCTTGATTATTCGCACCGCTGCCGTCGGCTTGGCAGCAATTAGCTTGCAGTATTAAACCATGCAGATGTATTCAATTTGGTAAGGGCGATGACACAAAATATATAACACTGAGAAAAAGCGGGTGTAGTACTGATACCCCTTTTCCCATAAAATAAACTCCAAAATTTCAGTTCGACATACAGCTCAGCGACGTCGAAATGAATGTACCAACTTTAGAGAGCGGTTTCATAGCCGAGGGGTGCAACTTATTAAAATCGCTAATGAACCTCTTACTAACTTCAAATATATAAGTCGGGTTTTCTTAACCCTGCTGCGAAACCTCTGTGTTTTTGTTTTCTCTTCAGTACTCCTTGACACGCACTTTAGCAGTTTAATAAGTTTATGGATGTCATCAAGCCCCGCGTAAACGCTGGAGCCGTCATTTCGATGGCAGTGCGCTGTACGTTAAACTTAAGTTTCGGGGAGCATTATATGTGACAAAATGGGTGTCAGACTACACTTTTCTTTTTAAGCGTAAGATGAGCGAGTTGGCATAACACTTTTGACATACAATAAATACAAAAGTATGAAACACCGGAAAGAGTTTAGCCTTTTGTATTCTTAAGGCCCGTTCACACCCTTGCGACCGAGTAAGACGGAGGGAGACCGGACCGGTTTTTAAGCCTCTTGCGATCTCTTAGGACCAGCTCCCCTGTAGAGCATCCGGTCCTAAGAAGTCGCAAAAGGCTTAAAAACTGGTCTGGTCTCTCTCAGCCTTACTCGGTCGCAAGAGTGTGAACGGCGCTTTAGGTTATCAGGTACATTCCTCTGGTCGCTTAGAAGCAACATCGGCTCCTCATCTGGATTCCGATCGGGCCAAAAACCGGTCTGTTACTCTCAGCCAATCCAGGCGGAGCGGGATCGCGATGTGCATGAAACCTTATATCTTGCCGAATACGACATGATTGCCTTCGCCACGCGGCAACTCTTCATCGAGGTAATCAAAAGCTGTTTTCACGTTTCCGAGACTCTTATTCGCTCCTAATGCCGAAGGATCGCTAGCATTCCCTCCGCGGAATCGGGAATCTCCGGCCCATTGGAGAAGGCGTTGTTAGGCAACTGCTGCAAAATGATCTTGGGCAATTCATATTATATACTTGTCCCTTCGCTTTTTGTGTAATTCAATAATATTAATGTGCATGCCTGTTTTTTTTTTTTTTTTTTTTTTTTTTGTCTTGTGAATGCAAGAGGGCTTATAGTTTGGTCGCAATAATAATATAAATAAGCATATCTTCTCACCATAACCTATGGCAGTGGTAAGACTGTTAACTGTGCGAGTTGTGCGCTGTTACGTTATTTTTCTATGGCAGTGGAGGTCGAAAGTAAAGCGCAAGTTCACATTTACTGCAGAATCACCTTCCAGAAGGCCAAGCTCGCGCTCGTGGCACTACTTTTAGCTCTAAAATATTAAGGAGGGCGGATTGGTTAAGCATATTATGCATATCAACCCCCTCTTCCACCTGTCCTTACGTGTCCTTCGCTCGATTTTCTATTTAACACGTCCCAGTACGTCGCATGGTGAAACGAAAGATTTTCCGAGCGGAGACGGTTCTGTTGGCTGCACGCACCCAAGCGTAGGAGAGAGTGAGCGGCGGCACCCCGTAGTAGACATCGTCCGCAAGCGGCGGGGGAGGCTTGGCTTCGGTCGGCACGTAGGCTGACAGGTAGGCCGGCGTCGTATCTGCCCGGAAGGCGTCCGCCTGGCCCTGGGAAGGGACGGGACGGGCCTTTCGTCAGCGACGCCGCACCGGCCAAAACGGCATTCGCTTCACTCGGGCACCCTTTACGGGCGCCGAAATTTCGAGTTCCCCTTTCCCCAAATTCAGATATGTCACTCCAGAACCGTCTCCGTTTCTCTTCTCCCGAAGGGAGGAGGAACCTCGTGGAGCAAAACGCTAATGGCGTATCGGTTCCTCGGCTTGGAACGCGTAAACGTGCCCGCGTCGTCAGTTCTATTACGGCCCCCGAAACGCGTTTTCGACTCCTGTGTTTACAGTGGTTATTTCGCCTATTCATCAAGACTGGTACCGGAGTGGCAAGAAATGGCGTCGCAGGAGCCGGTCTGTCCTACCGCTGGATGTTGCGATCCTGCCGGTTGGTTGCGGAATTTACAGCCACAAAGAAGAGCGATCGTTAGTGACGGCATCGTCGCAGCGTTCCAAGGTGTTGCTGCCAAAGCTTCCGTGGAATCTGAAGCTTATAATGAGCCACAGCAGAACAGCCGTTCGCCGTATTTACGTCTGCAGGTGTGTCACCACGGGGATCACGATAGACAACATCGTGACACATTTATGACGTCATTAAGCGAAATTCCAGAAAGGGCAATTTTGGACGCGATAAACATGACATTCGAAGATGCGCACCAGGCACCATACTTCAATGGTGATTGCTCGCAGTCCAGGGTGGCCAGAGCCCTAGAATAGGTGAGCTGCGACAGATTACCTAACTGCATCCACTTGTGTAAAAAAAAACTATCGTGTCACTCACGACAGTCCCCCTTTGCGAAGGGTCACATTCGAACTATGCCTTGGAACTAAGCAAGCCATTCTCAGTCAATACCATAAGGATGGACTGTTGCATATAACGTTTGTTTACGACGATACGTTGATCTCCGTATTTCTCCCAAGGAAGCGAGTTGACGGCATTTTCGTTTCATACGCATGATTATAATATTTTGTCTTCACACAACATTAACACTTGAAGATATGTTTTACTCTATTGATGGCTATTCATACAATTGTCATTTACCTTTTTAATGCAGTGTTACTTCAGGTCAGTGGGTCTAAGTTATGCCGGACTCGTGTAACTTTCGTTAGTAGATTGTATACCCAAAACGCCAGAGGGCAATCCGTGCGCGCGAGGGTTAATATAATGTCTGCCTGCTCAAAAAAAAAAAAAAAAAACGCGGTACGCTGTCGGACACACAACGTAGTAACGTCAATATTACTTCCACGTTTTTTTACCACTCCTACACAACAGTGTGTCGAAAACTCCTGCACAGATCTTTTGTTGTCAATAAAAATCCTGCTTTTTCCATGGCTTCCCAACTCTGAACGTGGACAGTGCCTCTAGGTTTGAAACCAGTATCTCCCATCGGCAAAACTAATGTAGTTAGGGCGGGCAAACTGCAGCTCGCGAGCCGCAGGCGGCTCTTCGCTGGTCCATTGTGGCTCACGGCTCCCTGGTAAGCGTGCCCCCTTCCCCTTCTGTGTCCCCAAGATAAAAAAAAAAAAGTAACAGTTTTTGGTTGCATTCTACTACACGACGTACATGGAAATGAAGTTCTTTTTGACGCATAGTTGTGCCCAGTGATCCTGTTCCCTTTACTGTTCTAGAAATAATTTCGGAACGTATATACAGATAACGGAGGTCAGGAGTATTGGCTGACTAGCGAACCACGCGTCCAGTTTTACTTAGAGGTTGAAGAAACGTTCTGCTGCCTGGTGTTATTTGTAGTAGTCGACAATTATACTTCTACCCTTTGGAAAAGATTGCTTCCTCCATAACGTTGCTTGTCAAAATTTGCCAATCCCCCATCCCCTTTTGCGTTTCCTGCGGCTCTCTGAACTTTTGTAGTTTTGTCTGCGGCTCCAATCCCATGTCGCTCTGGCCACTCCTGTACTATAGCTTGTTAGATCACTCCTGGCGGCTGTCGAGTTTATTTTATTTATTTATTTATGTATTTGACATATTGTTAGTCCTGATAAGGACTTTGACAGGAGTGGCAACAAGTTACACTTGTAAAAGCAACAGGTAAAGCAACACGGCAGCGAAGCACAATGCAAGGAGCACCAAAAAAGAATGGAAACCAAAAATAAACAATAGTTAGGTTGCGTGAAGCTGTAAAAGGGATAATTCAATATCGGTGGAAGAAACGAGATGTTCTGGCAACAGATTTCAGTCCCGCTCCGTGCAAGGAAAGAAGGAATACTTAAAACAATGTTTATTGAGCAAAACCTCTTGTAAGTGACGCGAGTGTTTGTTACGAGTGATACGGGATTGATGAAGGGTTAGGTAACGTGAGTAGTCTATGAGCAATGAACCAGAAAGTATCATGAAAAAAAGATTCAAACATTTATTTTGCCGTCTAGACTGAAGTAACGGAAGATTGCACAGAGCATACAGCTCTGTCGGCGAATCTAATCTGCGACATCTAGAATAAATGAAATGCAGGGCCAGTCGCTCTACACTTTCTAGGTCAAGGATTAGGCTTTTTTATGCGCGAGTCCCATATTTCCGACGCGTATTCAAGCAGGGGACGAACCAGCATTTTGTAAGCGAGCAGTCTAGTATCTGCAGATGCTAGTTTCAAGGACCGTCGTAGAAATGCTAGTCATGTATGAGCTTTTTAAACAATGTTAGTCACATGCATGTTCCATCGAAGGTAGCTCGATATAGTAACACCGAAATACTTATAAATGTCTACTTTTTCTAGGAGGACGCCATCAAGGCTGCACGGATAAACTATGGGATTTAATTTATGTGTGGTGGACATACAAACGGTTTTTCGTATATTCAGAGACATTTGCCACTTCGTACACCATGCCTTAACCCTATGCAGGTTCGCGCTTAAATTACTTAGGTCAGGCATAGGTGTTACCTTAGTGTACAAAATACAGTCACCTGCAAAAGGTATCGCGTGCGCCGAGATGTCTTTAACCAGACCGCCTATAAACATAAGAAAGAGCAACGGCCCCAGAACTGAGCATTATGGCACACCAGAAGTAACAGCACAATGACCCGAGTAGTTATCTTCAATGCTAACAAACTGATTTCAATCAGAAAGAAATGACCCTCTCCATCCTGACAGAGTTTCGTTCTTTAGCATAGGTCTTATCTTGCACAGTAACTTTCTATGGTTCACCTTATCAAAGGGCTTTTTAAGTTCCAAAAAAAAAACAAAAAAACATCAACCTGGTCTCTACTATTTAAAGTTTTCGAAAAGAACTGCATAATTTGTGTCAGTTGCGTAACAGTAAAAAGCCCCTTTCGGAATCCATGTTGCAAGCTGTTTAGTAAGCCCTGCTCACTTAGGAATGTATGAATATGCTCGGAGATGATGTGCTCAATTATTTTACAGCATGTTGATATAAAGGAAAAGGCGCAATAATTTGGAGGGGAATATGAATTACCCTCCTCAAATATTGGAACTACTTTACCCCATTTCCAGTCGTTTGGGACCGAAGAATTATCAAGCGAGTTCTGAAACACAAGCAATAAATATTTGGACGACCATTCGGCATACCCTTTTAAAAACGCATTCGGAATTCGTTCCGGTCTTCCTGCCTTCAAAGGGTCTATATCGAGAAGCAACGAAAAAATTCTCTTCTGAGATAACAATACATTAAGAATTGCTGGTATACTGACGAATTAATTACACTCAGGTAGTGTGCCGTCATCACAAAAAAAAATTGTAGTAATACTGAACGTTCTAGTGCACCGCGGGAGACGTTTTGCGCCACGTCTAAACTGGCTTAGTTGTGCTACAGACAGCAGTTGCTCCCTTGTTGCGCGACAGAATGAATCCCGTGAATAAAATGAAATAAAAACTTTTTGAACGTATGTTTAGACAGCGGGAAGTTATTTTACCGACCTTTTTTTCCTACGGTCAGGTTGTCATTTCTTGTGTATGCCGTGCAGCTACTAACCCTAAAATTTAAAAGGGCTACTGCAAAAACTATTTGCGCTTACGGAATACCACTTAGAATGAATGCCTGGTGTTTCTAACTTACAAAATACGAATTAGATATTTCTCCCGACGCAATGCTAGTCACTAAAAAAAAATTAAAACAAAAACAAAAACGACCGGAGTTCACTTTTGTAACTCGCAAACAGAACAAGAAGCCCCGTGAACTGGAGCCCATTATATGCCGTCGATGTTTATCATAGTCACGCGCTGGGGTTTGAGATGCACAGGGTATGCACTGAGTTCAAAACATTTTTCAAGGTTCGGCTATTGTTGTTACTGCAGCGATTGGACGCCAGCCACCAACCGAATGCTGGTCCAGCAATTGATTATCACGAGCCCAAATCCAGTGCACACGCAAAGCGATCGGGTTCAATTTATGAGCCGCTTTCAAACATCATCACTCTGAAAACTATGTGAACACTGCTGCCTCTGTGCCACGGCATCAATCTTTTCCAAAGGGGAGATTGAAAGCAAACACTACCTTTTCATTTGAACTTACACCGCAACAAAGAAGTTTCCTGGTCAATTGCGTTGCGTGCGACTATACAGGTGTCCGGTTAGTGCCAGTAAGCTCGTGTAAAGTGACAAGGCATTCCAACAAAATATCTGATCTAAGGAACCCTGAATTTGATACACGTGCCAAATCCGCACTTGTTTCTATCTTACATGCTTCCGTGCTTCGGCATGAGCTAGGAAAGCCATTCCCTCTTCAATTACTTTTTCGCGGTGCACCTGTTTCGTCAAATGTGGCGAATGGATGCAGGACGTCGCAGTCTGAACATCTTCATGAAACGTAACTTTTATTTTCAGGCTTTAGTCAAATTTACAGTTCTTCTTTTATTCAAATTTTTATGTTCTCATTTGACGATTACTTGTGGGATATCGGTGCAAAAAGACGAATGTGGGCAGTGGCAGTATTAGCGCATCAGTGAGTTGTTGAATGTTCATTAGCTACAATCAATATTCTGAAGACGCCAGTGTAAGCAGGTTAATCAAATCTTTGCTAAGTCGTACGGC